AAAAAATTGTGAAATCCAGATGGCTTTTTCATAAGACACATTTTCCATGAGCTTTTTGAAGACTGTGTGTGTGTTGAGTCTGTGACTGGCAGAGTTGTCTGTGAGTATGTGCAGGTGTTACCCTGCTTGTGTGTGTGTGTGCACGTGTGTGTGTATGAAATCTGTGACTGACGGAGTTGTCTGAGTATGTGAGTATGTGCTATGCCTGTGTCAGTCTGTGAGTGTGAATGGATGAGAGTGAGGGTGTGGGTGGAGTCTGTGACTGGCAGGCTGTCTGTGAGTATGCGCAGGTGTTATTTCTGTCTGTGAGTGTGTGTGTATGAGTGTGAGTGTGTGGCAGGGCTGTCTCTGAGGGCTCAGGTCTGTGCCTTGCACCGTGGCACTCAGCAGAGGGGCCCTACTGGGGGCTGGTGCTTTGTGCCGAGGCACATCGGACCCTCCCGTGGCTGTCCCAGGGCTCAGCTGGCTTCCCTGCCTGTGTGTACCTCTGCAGAGCCCCACCCAGGATGCCCCTGTGCAGTGGGATAAAAATATGCGTCTCCATGGAATGACCCTGCTCCCAGGTCCTGTGCCTGTCGTAACTTATTGTAGGCAAATACCTAGAGGCTTAGGTTGTTCCTTGAGTATGTTTCCAATGGGTTACATGTCTCACTAATCGAGCTACACGGGGCCTGTGCCCCCTGGAGTGTGGGGTCTGAGTTCATCCTCCTCCCCACAGGGACAGGCCTGACCTTGACAGTGTCATCAACAAGCCAGCCCCTGGCACCTGGGGGCTTCCTGCTCCCAGCGCTCCCCTGGGCATTCGGTGTCCCTTGGCTGTGACACATGCCCCTTCTGCCTGGAGGACCTGTATTTAAGCCTTAAGCATTTCCATCGGCCCAGCCGTGAGGGAGCACAAGAGGCCGGCGCCCTGTGTGTTTCCTTGTCCTGTATGAGGGTGCTTCTGGAGGCATGGGACACTGGAATTTAGATCAGTTTATTGTGGTGTCAAAAAAAAAAAAATGGAAATCCATGCATTTTTTCATGATATAAATTTCTGTGACCTTTTGAAGACCGCAGGTGCACAGAGCAGCTTGTAAATTTCCTGTGTCTCCACGTCCCTCTCTGAGATGTCAGGGCCAGGCCAGGTAGGGTGGTGGGTCAGGCCCCTGGGCACTCAGGTGGGCTTGTCCACCTTAAGGAAAGCAGCGGCATGGGCTGTCAGTTCAAGGCCCACCTTGGGACCCTGGGCGCGTGGCTCCACCTTCCAAGCCTCAGTTTCCAAATCTGTAAAATGGGCCTTGTAGGTGTCCTGCTCCTCCAGTGGTACACGTTCCTGAGGCGTCTGTGGCTCGGGGTGCCTGCTTGTACCGTCATTGCTGCTCTGTTGTGGCTCTTTTAGGCCATTTCTAAATCATCTTTGAAAGCCATCTTCTTTCTATCTACAGTGGATTTCAGTGGGAAGAATCACTGTTATGTAACTTGGAACCATTAGTGTGTCCCTGACATTTTTACCAGGCTGGAGGCCTCCCCGGGTGAGGAGTCTGGTGTGGGCAGTGTGGCCAGAGGGGCAGGGGCGTCCCCCTGCTGCCGCCCGGCTCCGGCCTCCTGCGCTCACCGCCGGCCCCTGCATACATTAGCCCTAATGTATTCACCCTTGAATACTCATCATATTAAGGCGCCGGTAGATACCTTGCTGCAAATAAATTTCATGCGCGCACATCGTCGGCCTGGGCCGTGCGTTTGTGGCAGGGAGGAGAAATACAGCCGTGTCTGGTGGGAGGCAGGCCCACCAACAACAGTTAGGCAGGAACCGGACCTTCCCTCCCGAGAGCTGCGGAGAGCTGGGCTCACCCCCTGCCCGGGCATTTAGGCCTTCGGAGCCGGTGCCCGGACGTCCTGGGGCTAGGCGGGCACCCAGTGCATGGTGGGCATGCGTGCTACGCGATGCTGCCAGAGCCGACCTCCCGCACGCTCCGCCGCAGGCAGAGGACCCACACCCTCCCCCTGTGCAGCCCCTCCTCAGCTCAAGGTGTCCTGGCTCACCGCTGTCTGAGCTGCCCCTGGCTCTGGACACCCCCTCCCCCAGGCCTCCTCCTCATCTGTCCTGCCCCGCTCAGAGCCCACTCCTCCCTCAGTCCCTAGGCTCCTAGGAGTGCACTGGTGGAGGCCAGCAGGTGCGCCCCGCAAGGCTGTGGCGCAGGCGCTGTGCGGCCCAGCGCTCTCCTTCCCAGGGGTTACCGCCCTGTCCTGCCTCCTCGCCTCCTTTCACAGGGGTGGGGACCCAGGCAGAGAGGGGCTGAGGCACTGGGTCACAGTTAGCAGGCAGACCTAAGCTGCGTCCGTCCCGTCTGTTCCCTCTAACCCCCGGGGAGTTCCCGCGGCCGTCCTGGGCACTTTGCCGGGTCCTTCAGAGCTCTTGGGAAGTACTTATGGGTAAGACAGTTCCCTCCTCAAGGAATAGAAAAAGCCCCACGCGGGCTTACCACAAGCGGGGGGCGCGGGTACTCAGTGTGACTGCCCACAGCCTGCAGGGTGTGGCCCGAGGAGGGTGTCGGAAAGCAAGGTTGATGCTTTAAGTCAACATTTTAAAATTCCATCTCAACCAGCAAACGTGACGGGCATTCAGAAACGTGCCTGCTTGGTCAGGGATTCGGTGTGCAGGAGAAACTAATGAGCTGTTTTTTTTTTTTTTTTTTAAGATTTATTTATTTATTTGAAAGAGTTACACAGAGAGAGGAGAGGCAGAGAGAGAGAGAGAGAGAGAGAGAGGTCTTCCATCCGATGGTTCACTCCCCAGTTGGTCGCAATGGCTGGAGCTGCGCTAGTCCGAAGCCAGGAATTTCTTCTGGGTCTCCCATGTGGGTACAGGGACCCAAGGACTTGGGCCATCTTCCACTGCTTTCCCAGGCCATAGCAGAGAGCTGGATCGGAAGTGGAGCAGCTGGGCCTTGAACCGGTGCCCCTATGGGATGCCAGCGCTCCAGGCCAGGGCGTTAACCCACTGCACCACAGTGCCGGCCCCTAATGAGCTGTTTTCAAGTGAGCTTCTCTGCAAGTACTTGGCCAGCTGTCACTCCCTGCTCAACATCTGTGGGGTTTCCCTAAGGGCCCCTGGGGCCAGCGCTGTGGCCTAATGGGTTAAACTGCCACCTGCAACATAGGCATCCTGTACAGGTACTGGTTCGAGTCCTGGCTGCTCCACTTCCTGCTAATGGGCCTGGGAAGGCAGCAGAAGATGACCCAAGTGCTTGGGCCCCTGCACCCATGTGGGAGACCTGGAAGAAGCTCCTGGATCCTGGCTTCAGTTTGCCCCCGCCCTGGCGTTTTTGGCCATCTAGGGAGTGAACTAGTGAATGGAAGACCTCTCCCTCTCATGCTTTCAAATAAATAATACATCTTAGAAAAGCAGGCAGAGACTGTTCCCACCCCCTGGAAGAACCACCTTAGCATGGGGAGGGCCGCGTGGAGACTGTTAGCAAGAGCGCTGTGTCTCAGGGATGGGAGGCCCGGGGTTGCCCGCCTTGCCAGTGCCACACACTGCCTGTTCTCGTTCTCGTCCTTAATGCTTGCTCGCCTGTTACCTTCCTATTGGGAAGGAAATGGCTAGAGATGCTGGCCCTATTGGTTCATCCGATCGTGGATACCTGACCGTTTCGCAGATTTTTGGAACAGGCAGTGACTCAAAATGCTCTCAGATCCCAGGGGACTCCTTGGTGACGATGGGTGGCTGAGACGCAGAGCATGAACAGAAGTCGCTCGGGTCAGGACTAGGATGGGGCAGTGGTCAGGGCTCCGACGTGGACACAAGCTCTACGTTCCCTACTGAAGCAGAAAGTGTGGCTTCCCGCCCTGGGGCTGCTGGGGGGAGCTTCCAGGATCCCGGGAGTCCGGCCCCCAGGATCCTGTGGCCTTGGCCCTGGCCCCAAGGGGAGCCACCAGGCTCTCTGCGTTGAATTCAGTTCCCTCCGCCGTGCACCCCATGGGCAGGCTCCAGAAGCCGCAAGGGAGTCCGGAAAAGCCGTCTCCACTCTCCTGTCACAGCACAGGGAGGCAGGTTCAGAGGGGCCGTGGATTCAGCAGATCCGTGCTGGCTGTGCAGCTCATTAGCCAATCCGTGCTGGCTGTGCAGCCCATTAGCCAATCCGTGATGGCCAGTGCAGCCCATTAGCCAATCCGTGATGGCTGTGCAGCCCATTAGCCAATCAATCCGTGATGGCCGATGCAGCCCATTAACCAATCCATGATGGCTGGTGCAGCCCATTAACCAATCCGTGATGGCTGAGCAGTACATTAACCAATCCGCGATGGCCAGTGCAGCCCATTGGCCAATCCGTGATGGCCGGTGCAGCCCATTAACCAATCCATGATGGCTGGTGCAGCCCATTAACCAATCCGTGATGGCTGAGCAGTCCATTAACCAATCCGCGATGGCCAGTGCAGCCCATTAGCCAATCTGTGATGGCTGGTACAGCCCATTAACCAATCCGTGATGGCTGAGCAGCCCATTAGCCAATCAGGGTTGTCTCCTGGAGCTTCTCCTAGCCACCTCTGTCACTGCTCCCTGCCCCCATGTCACTGGCTCTTCAGGCTGGAGGGGCTCTGGGCCCAAGCCCAGGCAGGCTTCACTCTGGGAACTGGGATTTTAGCTACCGCCAGTGACAATGTCATGCGAACAGCAGCGAATGCTGTTGGGCCTCTTGGCCAGGGAATCGTAGCTGGCATAGGTAGGGTTAGCTGGTGCTGGTAGTGTGGTGTCCTTAGAAACAGGTGGCCCCTCTGGACCAAAGTCACCACTAGCCACAAAACACAGCCTGGCCATCAACGCAAGGGTTGAATTTCAGTCCCTACCTGCCTTCTTGACCCGGCTCCTTTGTGCAGTGCACGACTTGCACAGCTGTGTGCTGCGACCTTGGAGTCTGGGTCACCGCGGTTCCCCCCACAGGCAGAGTGGGGAGGCGTCGGCACAGAGCCCGGGCTGGCGGAAGGCTCACGCTGCCTCTCTCTGCTCTCCCCCACAGAGATCCCCCAGTGCGCCGGCTGCAACCAGCACATCTTGGACAAGTTCATCCTGAAGGTCCTGGACAGGCACTGGCACAGCTCCTGCCTCAAGTGCGCAGACTGTCAGATGCAGCTGGCCGACAGGTGCTTCTCCAGGGCGGGCAGCTTCTACTGCAAGGAGGACTTCTTCAAGTGAGTCGCCACCTTCACTCTCCTTGGTTCCTTCCATGCAGTGCGGTGGGGTGAGGAGGTGAGGGGGGGGTTGGTTTCCGGGGATGGGAGGAGCCCCCCGCCGGGCACTGCTTCTGATCGCTGGCCCCATCTTGGCCTCACCTCAGCTCTGCAGGGGATGAGGGTGGGGACCGGGGGGAGGGCCTGGTTCAGCCTTCTCCAGGGCAGCTGACAAAAGCTGTCTTTGCCCCTTCCAAAAGCACTTGCCCGCTGTCTGTCTGTCTGTCTGTCTCTCTGTGTCTCTGTCTCTGTCTCTCTTGATGCACTGGCCCCGGAGCACTTGGTCACGCCATCCTTGCCATCCTGGGGACTTTGGAGCAGGTGCTTTTGTAAAAGCATATTTATTGATTTATTCGAAAGGCAGACATACATACACCTACCCTTCCATTGGTTCACTCCCCAAATACCTGCAACAGCCAGAGCTGGGAACTGGGTACCCAGGCCGGGTCTCCCATGTGGGTAGCAGGGACAGAACTGCTTGGGCCACCGCTGGCTGCCTCCAAGGGTCTGCACTAGCAGGAAGCTGGAATGGGGAGCTGAGCAGGACTCCAAACCCAGGGCCTCCCAAGCAGCCTTGTAACTTGCACCAAATGCTCGGGGAGTTGTAGGTCTGTGCCTCAGCTCGGGGGCGGCCAGTGTCATCCCTTTGAATGACAACACGATGAAGGTGTGATGGGTGAGACTCTGCCCGGGGGCTGGCGTGTGGCTCAGCAGGTTAAGCCGCTCCCCAGGACCCTGGCATTCACTTCTTTTTTTTTTTTAATCTATTTTTTATTTTATTTTATTTATTTATTTATTTAAATATTTATTTATTTATTTTGACAGGCAGAGTGGACAGTGAGAGAGAGAGACAGAGAGAAAGGTCTTCCTTTGCCGTTGGTTCACCCTCCAATGGCCGCCGCGGCCGGCGCGCTGCGGCCTGCGCACCGCACTGATCCGAAGGCAGGAGCCAGGAGCTTCTCCTGGTCTCCCATGGGGTGCAGGGCCCAAGGACTTGGGCCATCCTCCACTGCACTCCCTGGCCACAGCAGAGAGCTGGCCTGGAAGAGGGGCAACTGGGACAGCATCCGGCGTCCCGACCGGGACTAGAACCCGGTGTGCCAGCGCCGCAAGGCGGAGGATTAGCCTAGTGAGCCGCAGCACCGGCCAGCATTCACTTCTGATCCAGCTCCCTGATACTACACCTGGGAAGGCAGCAGGAGGTGGCCCAACTGCGTGGGTCCCTGACACCCACTTGGGAGGCCCAGATGGAGTTCTAGGCTCCTGGCTTTGGCCTGGCCCAGCCTCAGCCATTGTGGCCATTTGGGGAGTGAACCAGCAGATGAAAGATCTCTCCCCTTCCCCCCTTCCCCCCTTCCCCCCTTCCCCCCTTCCCCCCTTCCCCCCTTCCCCCCTTCCCCCCTTCCCTCTCCCCCCTCCTCCTCTCTCTCTGCCTTTCAAATAAATAAAAGTGATTTAAAAAAAAAAAATGACCCTGCCTGGGTTTGGACCAACTTATTGGCTGTGTACTCTTGGGAAAGTTGCCTACCTTCTCTGTGACTCAGTTTATTATCTGTAAAATGGGGTTGCTATAGTATTTCCTGTCTCACTGGGTGGTGATTCTTTAAACAGGGGCACAGTCTGCATGAGGATCTAAGGCAAGTGCCTGGCGCTCAGTGTGGGATCCCAGGACTGTCCTGGGTTTTTCCTGCTGGGGTCGGGTCCACCAGACAAACACAGTTGGAGCTGTGGGTCAGGGTGGAGGGACCGCCCAGAATCTGGCTTGCACGGCAGTTGTTCTGAGACCTCTCTGCTAGGAGCCGCCCCCCAGGTCCTCAGGCCATGCCACTGGGCCCGAGCTCAGCTGCCCCAGAAACCCTGCAAGGCCTGGGGACGGTCAGCCCCCGGAGCCAGGGAGGACGGGGAGGGCTCGGGTCTCAGCGCAGACCCCAGAGCCTTGGCTGATGTGACTTTCTGAAGGTTCTGCAGCCCCTCACTGCTGGATGTGCGCCCGGGGGTGCACGTGGAGGGTGGCCCCTCCCTTTGGTTTTCTCCACCTGTGCCCCTTGCTTGTTTCTTTCTCTCTAGTTTTATGCCTGCTGCCCCTCCCACCCACGTCCTTTCTTAGTGGGCACCAAGAGTCGGCCTCTGGCTTCCTCCCTCTGGGGTGCCATGGCCAAGCACCATGGAGCTTGTGGGGGGCCTGGATGGGGTGAATTTCATTGTGTGTGTGTGTGTGTGCGTGTGCACCTGTAACCTTGGACCTGCATGAATGGCGGGCCTGGGGAAGCACGCAGGAGGGCCTGGCCCTGCAGGTTGGGCGAGCTGTCCCGGCTTCTGGGATGAGGGCACCAGCCTCAGTTTGTCCTTGTCCCCTTGGACAGCTATAACCCTGAGCTCCAGGGCCAAGGCAGGAGGCCACATCATCTTACCCTTGTGAGGACAGGGCAGGTCTGAGCCCAGGGCCCACTGCGATGCTGGCTGGTCCAGCGGGCAGGTCAGGGCAGCCTGTGGGGTCCAGGCAAAGCCTCCCTTAAACTGCTAGCATTGCCCCAGGGCCTGTCTGGTGTGTGGGCCCTGACGGGCTGGCTGTGGGTTTGGGAAAGGAAAAGGAGGTGGCAGGGAGGGCGACAGCAGCCCTGGGGTCTCCCTGGGCCCAGGAGGGGTCCAGAGCACGGGCACAGGCTAGGGAACAAGTAGCACAGACTCACGAGTGGAGATTACAGCTCCTCGCCCAGGCTGGGGCTCACCCCACCATGCCCTTCATGTGGGTCCTTTGTGGGGCTTGCCCTGTGGTACCCTCCTGATGGCCCCTCCACCCCCATCACCTCTCAGCAACCCACCAGCCTTCCCGACGCATCCTACCTCACAGCTCGCTGCTTCACGGGCTCCCTTCTGCCTGCAGAATGTTCTAGAAACACGAGTGCCGGCAGAGCACGTCCGGTCCCAGGCCACCGCCTTCCTTGGGCACTGGACTCCCAGTGGCTGGATGCTCCCTGTGCCCAGGCCTGCTCCGCACATCCCCCCCTCTGCGGCCTGGCCCTGGCTGCTTCACCCTCCAGGGACAGTGGCCACTCCCTCCAGGGCTGTGCATCTTGCCACGGCTGCCCAGAGCCAGCTCGCGGTGCTGGGGGTCCCCATGGAGGCATGGTCCCCGCTCGCTTCTCTTTCCGGGTCATCGGCACACTCTGCTCTGTTTTGCTCACGTCTCCTGCACCTGTTTCAGCTCCTTGCTGGCCCGAGGAAAAGGCCTGTGTGTTATTCATGGTTCCATCCCCTGCGTAAGCACCTGGCCCTGAGCCCTGTCTGCGGGCTGTTGCTGAGTTTGGTGGAACAAGGAGTAAATTACAGAACGAATCTACCAGCGCATGGGCGGCAGCGTCTGTGTCTTGCTGCCACTGCTAGGCCCAGGCCATTCCCCAGGGCTGCCCTGCTTCATAGAGTGGCCTCCCTCAGGGCCCCGCCCTTCCTAGAGCGGGGGAGCTGGCCACAGGCTTGGTGCTGAATCCAGGCCGCCAGCCCCGGGACGGGGCACTGTGTGAGGGGAGTGTAAGCCAAGTGATCATCCCCGCTGCCCACAGGGGCCAGTCGGCGATGGACAGTGAGTGCCTCTCAAGTCCCCAGCGGGGACACTGACTTACGGTCTCCCCCAGCTTCCGAGGCCATGGTTGTTGGTTCAGGAAGGCACAGCTGCAGGCCCCGACCCAGGTGAGGACAGGGAGGGCTGGCTGTCCAGGTCGGGGTGGCTGTCCAGAGTTGGGGTGGCTGCCCAGGTCGGGGTGGCTGTCCAGAGTCGGGGTGGCTGTCCAGGTCGGGCTGGCTGTCCAGAGTCGGGGTGGCTGTCCAGGTCAGGGTGGCTGTCCAGGGTTGGAGTGGCCTTGCCTCCCCCATCCCAGGGGTCTTAGGACCCATTGCCCACTTGGAGCTCAGGGGCAGCTGCTTCCCATTACTGATCATTAAATGTCACTGGGTTCCTGCTTCAGATGGGACATTGAAAGCCCCCCCCGGTGGGGGTGCTGTGAGCAGAGGGGGCAGGAGGGGGCAGGAGGAGGTGGTACCATCCCTGGAACCCGTGGTTCTCCCTGGTCTCACGCTCAGCTGTGGAAGCCACCCTCTGGCAGCCAAGGGAGTGGGCCAGCAGGGGTCATATACCAGGGCATTGCCAAAGGGTTGTGGAGAAACCGAATTGAGAGGAAAGTTCATTTTGGTGCAAACTTTTTTTTGAGAATTGTGTATAATCTTTATTTAATATGCATTTTCATGAACTTTCTGAAGACTTCTCATGGATTTAAATTTTCAAAAAAGATTTAATTTGAAAGGCAGAGTTAGAGAGAGAGAGAGAGAGAGAGAGAGAGAGAGAGATCTTCCATCTAGTGGTTCACTTCCCAAATGGCCAAAACTGCTGGGGCTGGGCCAGGAGCCAGGAGCCTCTTCTGGATCTCTCATGTGGGTACAGGGGCCCAAGCACTTGGGCCATCTTCTGCTGCTTTCCCAGGCACATTAGCAGGGAGCTGGATGGGAAGTGGAGCAGCTGGACTTGAACTGGTGCCCATATGGGATGCCAGTGTCACAGGCAGTGGTTTTGCCCATTATGCCACCATGCCAGCCCAGCCCCTCAATTTTTAGAAAAATATTTATTTATTTATTTATTAATTTAAAGCCAGAGTTACAGAGGAAGAGAGAGCAAGAGACAAAGCCGGATAGATCTTCCATCTGCTGATTCATTCCCCAAATAGCCCCATGGCCAGGCCGAAGCCAGGTGCTTCATCCGGTCTCTCACATGAGTACAGGGGCCCAAACACTGCTGCTTTCCCCAAGTCCTTAGCAGGGAGCTGGGTCGAAAGTGGAGCACCTGGGACTTGAACCCGCATCCATATAGGACGTCAGCATCACAGGCTGTGGCTTAACCTGCTTTGCCACAGTGCTGGCCCCTCGGTATCTTTTTTCCACCAAAATAAACTTTCCTTTCAATTCTGCTTTTC